CACTAGTACAGTCACCATCACACTTGTTCAGTCACCGTCAACACTAGTACAGTCACCATCACACTTGTTCAGTCACCGTCAACACTTGTTCAGTCACCGTCAACACTTGTTCAGTCACCGTCGCCACTTGTTCAGTCACCATCACACTTGTTCAGTCACCGTCAACACTAGTTACAGTCACCATCCACTTGTTCAGTCACCGTCACACTTGTTCAGTCACCGTCAACACTTGTTCAGTCACCGTCGCCACTTGTTCAGTCACCGTCAACACTTGTTCAGTCACCGTCAACACTTGTTCAGTCACCGTCGCCACTTGTTCAGTCACCGTCGCCACTTGTTCAGTCACCATCACACTTGTTCAGTCACCGTCAACACTAGTACAGTCACCATCACACTTGTTCAGTCACCGTCAACACTTGTTCAGTCACCGTCAACACTTGTTCAGTCACCGTCGCCACTTGTTCAGTCACCGTCGCCACTTGTTCAGTCACCATCACACTTGTTCAGTCACCGTCGCCACTTGTTCAGTCACCGTCGCCACTTGTTCAGTCACCATCACACTTGTTCAGTCACCGTCGCCACTTGTTCAGTCACCGTCGCCACTTGTTCAGTCCCGTCGCCACTTGTTCAGTCACCATCACTTGTTCAGTCACCGTCGCCACTTGTTCAGTCACCGTCGCCACTTGTTCAGTCACCGTCGCCACTTGTTCAGTCACCATCACACTTGTTTCAGTCCCGTCGCCACTGTTCAGTCACCGTCGCCACTTGTTCAGTCACCATCACACTTGTTCAGTCACCGTCGCCACTTGTTCAGTCACCGTCGCCACTTGTTCAGTCACCGTCGCCACTTGTTCAGTCACCATCCACTTTTTCAGTCACCGTCGCCACTTGTTCAGTCACCGTCGCCACTTGTTCAGTCACCATCACACTTGTTCAGTCACCGTCGCCACTTGTTCAGTCACCGTCGCCACTTGTTCAGTCACCGTCGCCACTTGTTCAGTCACCGTCCCACTTGTTCAGTCACCGTCGCCACTTGTTCAGTCACCGTCGCCACTTGTTCAGTCACCGTCGCCACTTGTTCAGTCACCGTCGCCACTTGTTCAGTCACCGTCGCCACTTGTTCAGTCACCGTCGCACTTGTTCAGTCACCGTCGCCACTTGTTCAGTCACCGTGCCACTTGTTCAGTCACCGTCGCCACTTGTTCAGTCACCGTCGCCACTTGTTCAGTCCTCTTGCCACTTGTTCAGTCACGTCGCACTTGTTTCAGTCCCGTCGCCACTTGTTCAGTCACCGTCGCCACTTGTTCAGTCACCTGTCGCACTGTTCAGTCACCGTCGCCACTTGTTCAGTCACCGTCGCCACTTGTTCAGTCACCGTCGCCACTTGTTCAGTCCTGTCGCCACTTGTTCAGTCACCGTCGCCACTTGTTCAGTCTACCTGTCGCCACTTGGTCAGTCACCGTCGCACTTGTTCAGTCACCGTCGCCACTTGTTCAGTCACCGTGCCACTTGTTCAGTCACGTCGCCACTTGTTCAGTCACCGTCGCCACTTGTTCAGTCTCGTCCAGTTCAGTCACCGTCGCCACTTGTTCAGTCTCTGTCGCCACTTGTTCAGTCACCGTCGCCACTTGTTCAGTCTCTGTCGCCACTTGTTCAGTCACCGTCGCCACTTGTTCAGTCACCGTCGCCACTTGTTCAGTCACCGTCGCCACTTGTTCAGTCTCTGTCGCCACTTGTTCAGTCACCGTCGCCACTTGTTCAGTCACCGTCGCCACTTGTTCAGTCTCTGTCGCCACTTGTTCAGTCACCGTCGCCACTTGTCCAGTCACCGTCGCCACTTGTTCAGTCTCTGTCGCCACTTGTTCAGTCACCGTCGCCACTTGTTCAGTCTCTGTCGCCACTTGTTCAGTCACCGTCGCCACTTGTTCAGTCACCGTCGCCACTTGTTCAGTCACCGTCGCCACTTGTTCAGTCTCTGTCGCCACTTGTTCAGTCACCGTCGCCACTTGTTCAGTCACCGTCGCCACTTGTTCAGTCTCTGTCGCCACTTGTTCAGTCACCGTCGCCACTTGTTCAGTCACCGTCGCCACTTGTTCAGTCTCTGTCGCCACTTGTTCAGTCACCGTCGCCACTTGTTCAGTCTCTGTCGCCACTTGTTCAGTCACCGTCGCCACTTGTTCAGTCACCGTCGCCACTTGTTCAGTCACCGTCGCCACTTGTTCAGTCACCGTCGCCACTTGTTCAGTCACCGTCAACACTTGTTCAGTCACCGTCAACACTTGTTCAGCCTCTGTCGCCACTTGTTCAGTCACCGTCGCCACTTGTTCAGTCACCGTCGCCACTTGTTCAGTCACCGTCAACACTTGTTCAGTCACCGTCGCCACTTGTTCAGTCACCGTCAACACTTGTTCAGTCACCGTCAACACTTGTTCAGTCACCGTCGCCACTTGTTCAGTCACCGTCAACACTTGTTCAGTCACCGTCAACACTTGTTCAGCCTCTGTCGCCACTTGTTCAGTCACCGTCGCCACTTGTTCAGTCACCGTCAACACTTGTTCAGTCACCGTCAACACTTTTTTCAGCCTCTGTCGCCACTTGTTCAGTCACCGTCGCCACTTGTTCAGTCACCGTCAACACTTGTTCAGTCACCGTCAACACTTGTTCAGCCTCTGTCGCCACTTGTTCAGTCACCGTCGCCACTTGTTCAGTCACCGTCAACACTTGTTCAGCCTCTGTCGCCACTTGTTCAGTCACCGTCGCCACTTGTTCGGTCACCGTCAACACTTGTTCAACCTCTGTCGCCACTTGTTCAGTCACCGTCACCTGCTCAATCCCTCCACACTAGTACAGTCACCGTCGCCACTTGTTCAGTCACCGTCAACACTTGTTCAGTCACCGTCAAAACTTGCCACAAATGCCGAGTTACGTCGTGACTTGTTCATTCACCGTGAACACTTTTTCATTTACAGTGAACACTTGTTCACTCTGACTCTTGGCTGTTCTTGAGGTGGATAAGTTTGGTGGTGCACTTAGTGAAGCTTCGCAGCTCGTTGCTTCACATTCGTCAGAAAAACAGTGCCAGGCGAGGGTAGCAGAGAGAGGCAATTTGTACTGTTAAAACACTCAGTCTGGTGTTTACCTGAAGGCAGGGAGCCAGAGAGAGAGAGAGAGAGAGAGAGAGAGAGAGAGAGAGAGAGAGAGAGAGAGAGAGAGAGAGAGAGAGAGAGAGAGAGAGAGAGAGAGAGAGAGGGAGGGAGGGGGTAACGAGTAAAGTAGGGAGGAAATTTTGAAAGTAGGAAAGGAGAAAGAGATAAAAGATGAAAATAGAGGCAGAGGGATGAAGAGAGACATTCAGGAAGTCAGGATGGAGAATGAAGGAAGGAGGCAGGGAGATAAAGACAACTGTACAGGTGGTATTGTATCCTTCAGTGACAACTGTCTCCTGATGCGGGCCATTCCACTCCTGTGTATGGGGTAGGCCAGCCTAAAAGAAAGTTAATTCACAGGTAATAGTACCTCCAGGTCTGCTGGAACGAAACCTTAGAAGTTGTTGTAGCTGATGACCCATTAATGGAATACCTGACGATATCCTCATTGTCCTACTGGAGTCTCCCAGTTCAGACTGATAGATTTTAACACTGCATGAAATCCATCCTATGTGATGGTACATGACGGAAAAACCACAGTCTGATGAATAAAAAATAATAGTTGGTTATGCCATCCTCACACCACACAATACGTGTCCAGATTTGAACGCTATCTGGCCTTGTCGCTCATTTCTAGTTATTTTTTTCTTCTATGAGCTTATGTAACTAACCCTAAAAAAAAAAATCTAATTTGCAGAAAGCGTAAAGGAAATTGACGTTCGGAATCGCGCAAGAAAAATGGAATATAATCATTATACGGTGGGTATTTACCCCATTTAGCGAAGCAAGGGATTACAGTGAGCACCATTAGTGCAGCTCTCGTCAACATGTCCGCAGAGATTGGCTGCTGCTACCATCCCCCGTAATCCTTAATGTAACATTGTCACCAACGATTACAACTTGGGTACAATAGTTCGACAACTAGCGTGGAGGGTGAGACTGGAATGGAGGATCACACGTTTGTACATGACTTCGCCAAGAAATTGACGTACAGTAATAGGTAAGACAACGAACGGTATAATTTGAGTATAGGTAAGGGACGAGTGGGAGACCGTTGGAGAGGATGATAGAGAGATGGGATACAGAGGATGATCCAGGGAGAAAAGCGAAAATGAACGAGAAGGGATGTAAGGTTTCCCTAAAGGGGTGAATACGAAAGGAAAGTTAAACATAGAAGGTGGAAAGAGAAGAGAAACTTCAACACATTATCTGTTCCTAAACTCGGCATTAATATAAATAAATAAAGTTTGCCATTCTCAATAATAACATACATGGAGACAAACTCAGACGATTAATCGGTCTGTATATTTTGATACCCTTCTGGGACCCTCTTCAGCAGGTACGAAAGTGAAAGTTGAACATGAATATACAGGGAAGGCTGCCCCTCACCCCGTACCAGGGAGTGGCATGTGGATGGGGGGGGGGGACGTATCAAGTAGTGAGTAGGTGAGAAGAAAACAATACTTTGGTGACTTCTTAAACCAGATATTAGGCCAATCATCGCCTTTTATGAGGCCATTTTTATATTTTACCAGGTGGACCGCTAAGCCCGCAGAAGGCCTCGATCAAATGCTTGAAAATTCCAGAGAGCAGATCATCCCATGACAAAGTCACTTCAAGAGAAATTTCTCATTTCTCCTGACAAACCAAAAATAACACCACAACCATCCCTGCCTTATACCGACCTTTGTTTTATTTAAAGTTAGGTAGCGTGTCCGTCTCGCGATTAATGGAAGGAGGAATGAGTTTGCGCCACACATTGAATGGTTTTGCTCTATACACAGTTAATATATTAGTTTTACCCCCTAAATGCGAAGTTACAACTGCATCAGGATGTTCCCTCTCCTTCTTCAGGTATCGTCCATCAACCGCGTGTTGAGAAACTTGGCAGCACAGAAGGAACAAGGCTCGGGCGTGGGTGTGGGCGCAGGCAGCGGCGAGAGCGTCTACGACAAGCTGCGGATGTTCAACGGTGGAGCTGCGGCGGCGGGCTGGGCTGCGGCCTGGTACCCGGGTGCTGCGGCTGGCCACCTAGGCTTACCGCAGCACCACAACACGGCACTGCCGCCACTCCCGCGGGAGGACCCCAAGAGAGGTAAGTCATCCCTGAGTCTTCACTCTGACCTTCGCATATCTACCCTGATGCTGTCATTACCCTAAACCCTGCCCTTACCTCAACTATCACCACCCCGTTGTTCTTCCTCACAGTGTTTACACCTTGAAGACTAAGTATATGTAGCAGGAGAAACCTTTATTAACACGTTTAGCTCTAAGGAGAGCGAAACGTTGTCCCAATAGAGGCATCTTCTGCACCACGTATTTTTATCTTAATACCCGTCAGTGTCACACCTTCAACTAACTGGTGTACATATCGCTTCCTCTCCAGGCTGGTGTTATGTGCGTGTAGAAAAACACACTAACACTTTCAAAACGTACCCGAGAATAACTAAGAATACCATAAACTGTACAAGAGTACAGGCAAGAATACCATAAACTGTACAAGAGTACAGGCAAGAATACCATAAACTGTACAAGAGTACAGGTAAGAATACCATAAAATGTACATAACAGTTAATAATACGAAAAATGTACAGAGTTACACTAATAACACACAAATCTTAGAACACTATAAGCAAGTTGTAATCAAACTGCAGCAGCAATTACAAATAAACAATGTTGGAATTATATAAGAATGGTTAGTCAAGCAAGGAAAGAGATCTTACGAATGTTTGCAGACCAAGAATAGCGTGTAAGCACTTAGCTGAGTAATGTACATTCTTACGGTGGGTTTTGTTCATTCAGGATGAGTGGCACTGCCTAGTACTATCTTTCTGGTGTTTTTTTATTGGCAGGATTAGTGGCACTGCCAACGAAACTCGTTCCTTATACTTTGCATATTTCTGTTCCCACATCTTCCTTTAGTATTGTCAAAGTTCATTCACACTGTCTTCTCTCAAGACATATCTTAAGAAAAATAACAGAAGTACTGCATTCACAGGCGGTAACGTAAAATTTATAAGCGCTTTATTGAGTGGGAGGTGATCCGAACTGATCCAGGGACAGGAACGTTATGTTCATTTCCCTTGGATCTAAAGCTTCATATGCGTCAAGAAACCTCCCTTGAGAGTAGCGGCAGTGGTAGTAGTGGTGGTGGTGGTGGTGAAGGTATAAGTAGTAGTAATAGTAGTAGTAGTAGTAGTAGTAGTAGTAGTAGTAGTAGTAGTAGTAGCAGAACAGTTGTTGCAGAACCAGTAGGAGCAATATCAATCGTTGAAGCAGCAGCACTGACAGTCTTACCTTTCACGAATAACCACACAAGCTATTAAAAGATTCATCTCCCAGTCCTTAAGGCTTAAAAAAATCAAATCAAATATAAATGTCTATAGACACTGAGGAGGACAATGGGAAAACGACACTAGAGTGCCAGAGAGAGCCAGCCAGAGGTCCCCAATAAGGCAGGTGAAGGTAATCAAGCGAAGATGTAAGAAAGTATTATAACTGGGGGTTAGCTTTGTGCAGCCCCGGCTGAGGACACTTGGTCACCATCAAAGGCCAGTGGTGGACATGTCCCGGGACCCATTATGTGCTGGGAAGAGGAGGGGACACACTGGCCCACATCAAAGTCTTCCTCTTTCTCCTCTTCGTCCTGATAAAAATTTCCCTTTCTGTGTCTCTGTGTTGGCGATTCTCTCTTTCTCTCTCTTTCTCTCTCTCTCTCTCTCTCTCTCTCTCTCTCTCTCTCTCTCTCTCTCTCTATCTATCTATCTATCTATCTATCTATCTCCTGATTCACCTACGATACCGTTACTGGTAGCTGCATCGTAGCTGGTGACTGTTCAGTGGCTGCTGATTGTACCGCGTCTGGTGACTAACGTGAATTTTGATTGTGCCGTGGCTGATGGTTGCACCGTGGCTGCTGGAACCCCAATTCCCCAGAAAGCCACAATAGCCATACTAAACCGGCGCACGTGTGTCTGACCTACGTCAACACAGACCTGGTATATGTCTGACAATGGAGCAGACTGGCCGCTCAAACACCCTCTATGGTACACCCACTAAGACCACCTTTCTCCTTAATCTCTGCGTCAACACGGGCTAAGGCACAGGTGTGGGGGGCAATTAAAGGGTCAATAAATGTAATGCTCGCTTCTGAGGTGAGTCTAAAGGGGCTGTGTTTGAGGATTATACGACGTCAGCCATTGATGGCGTTCTCTGTCGGCGGATCAAAGCTGGTATTGTGCGTGTGTGTGTGTATGAGCCGACGTCGATCATAGGCTCGCGGATAGGAACAAGCAGCACTGTTCTGGACCCACCAATGCTCTTCCTGGGGTATTACCTGGCAACAATAGTTCTTGAGGGTATTACCTGGCAACAATGTTCTTGAGGAAGGACTATCACGAGACAAGTACTTTCAATGAACCTGCATTACCTGGCCGTACTGAATTTCAGCTAATAGCGTAGTCAATAGAGCAATCACAAAACAGTCATAAAGTAAACACCAGAAGATACTTTTAATTTAACGTATAGTCCTACCACCATAACGTACTTAAGCTATGTACAGTAGAGATGAACCAACGAACCAAAACATCAGTAGAGTTCGGAGTGTAAATCTGAAAAGTCTCGCTGCTATAACTACTAGACGTATATACAGAAGACGGATTCTAGTATTGTGTTAACCATCCTGAGCCTTATGATGGGTCTGAAGTTGCAAGCTGCCTCTACATACAAGGTAGATTAACCTGGGCCACCCTCCCTTATCCCGAACAAGCAGACAACCTCCAGCACAATGGTAGTTACCCATACTAATATGGTACACTGAATTCATTCAAGCAACCAATAAATTACTGTGCCTAAAGCTGGCTTAAGATGACATGCAGAAATATGGTTACATGTGAAGCATACTGAGTATACAATTGGCAATCTGCGGAGGCCACGAGGACCCAGGAGCACATCATTCTGGGGAGAAGGATTTAGGAATGTTTTGTTTTAATTTTGCTTCAAAGCAATAAGAATAGAGACCATTTTATTATTTCTACTTAGTAACAATAAAAGAACTTCTACTGTTATCACTTCGTAGCAAATAAAAGGCTCCCTGTCTCTCTACATGTCTTGTTACACCATTCGTCGATTCAGCCATATTCAAACTACCTCAGCGCAATATAAAAGAATTTACCTTAATGTCAATGAATCTGCCTTATAACTTTTTCTTGGGGTTCGAATCTTCACCTGATCAAAAAACAGCTATTATTTCGCAAGAGGGGCAGCCATCAGATCTTCCGCTCTGCAGTCGTTCATTCTTCACATGTTACTCTTAAAGAAAAGTGCTTTGATGCTAGTGAAGGACCACTGATCCACATAATTGTATCAGACCTGAGGGATCTCCCTTTCCCCAGGCGCTGTATGATACCTACGGGTTTAGCTCTACCCCATAAGTATAACGACACCCAACTGGCTCTTATAAGAAACATGTTTTCAAAACAATCAGACGCTCAGGAGTGGCTTATAACTGGTTGGTTTATTACGTTTAATTAAAAGTCTATCGACTTCATAAAGGTCACTGGGGCTTCATATCAACTACACACCGCTAGTCAATGATACGTTACTCCCTATAATAGGGAATTTAACTTTCAGTGAACAGATTACACACCCTTCTGTGAATGTTCTCTTTTAGACACCTGAGAGATTGAGTCAACTGACGAAGAAAATGCTGTTCCTTAGATCAGGCTCCAACTTCACCGTGTGCCCTTATGTATGCTCCTTAATGTTCAATTCAGCATACAACTATAATTTTTCTCTATAGTGAAGTATTTAGCAAGTCCGAGCTTTGGATAGAAAGACTGCTGTTAGCTTACAGAATGAGCTGAAGCAGGATGACAGCTCTTAGCTTGTAAAAATGTCCGCAAGACCAACTCACAATAAACTTAAAAGAAAGACTCAGAAAGACAAGAATAGCGAAGTCTGCGGTGCGGAGGAGGTAAGAGCGAAGGGAAGGAAGAAGTGATGAAGGAATACATGAAGACAGTGTAGCAGAAAGGGAAGACAAGAGGGAAGGAAATGAGGGAAAGCACTAAACGGAGAGAAGAATGAAAGAAGAGAGTAAACAAAACATAAATGGTGTACGGAAGAGACTTAGAAAAGGCTAGAAAGAGGGAAAAGGGAGAGAGAGGTGGAGAGGGGAGAGAAGAGAGAGAGAGAGAGAGAGAGAGAGAGAGAGAGAGAGAGAGAGAGAGAGAGAGACAGACAGACAGACAGAGAAGGGAGTGATAATATTTTTCATTTAGAAAAAATGGATACATCAGTAGTGTGCTGCTACCCTATTCTCTACGATAGTTACAATGGGGACAGAAGCTATTTCCATGTCATATTCCATAACACACGAGAGATTCATATACAGTGTTAAAATCTGTCAGTGTGTTTGAGTAGAGGGCGTGGGAGGATGGAGTTAGACGAGGGAGACTCAGTAGGAGGATGGAGTCAGAGGGAATGGGAGGAAGAGGGAGATGGAGGGAAGGTAGGAGAGCTTCCCCGCGGTACAACATAACATTAACATTCGTGTGAGCCTCCCTCGTTACAGACTCTCCCATCACGGGTAAAAAGAGCAGTCCTTGCTGACTCCCCTGCCCACCCTCCACCTCACACCTCCGCGTACTCACCCACCCTACATACAACTCCAAATACACCTCACAACCACGCCTATCGATACTACACCCTACAACCCGTTTATCCTACACCCAACGTCTACATTCTACACTCCCCTCGCTTAGGAAGCGATTTGAAAGCGAGGGTATTTAAATCACAGGTTACCACTGACCTTGTGATATGTTGGAGATGCGTCTTGAAACAATCACAGTTGATTCGAGGAGCTTGCGCTTACAACTACAATTTGTTATATGGAACTGCTGAACACAGGAGATCGAACCATACCACGGGTGGGGATAGAACCCGCGATCAGAGAGTCTCAAAACTCCAGACCGTTGCGTTAGATCGGTTAGATATACACGACAGTTCATCAGTCTTCCACCATGTTAACAATCATAATTACAATTTTAACTGGGAAGCCTGCACCATAATGTATTCAACAAGTTGCATGTAAAA